CATTGTGGGAAAATTCTACTACCAGTCCTTCATCACCTTAGACGAAATAGGGTAAATACATCTCATTACAGTGATTTACTGTTAGTCTCGAAACCCTACTCTCATACGAAAATAGTGTATCTTCATTTTTTTACTTTATTAACATTAAATTAATATTTAATAATTAATGTGATGGATGAGCCTGCAAATGACTACACATTTTCTCAAATTAAAGCTTTTACAATATTTCGTGGCTCCTTGGGGCGCCGCGGGGCACAGTTAGGGATTTTGCCTAACTCCACTTATTCATAAATATAAAGACCAAGATTGTGTCCATTTGTTTGGTTCATATATTTTTTGAGCTTGTGACCTATCCCTACCCTTTCCCCATTCAATTCTTAGTTTTGTTAAATCCCATGGCTCAACACCTTTTGGCACACAAATTTCATGAGTGCATGACTAATCTTTACTTTGTATTTCGCATCTACCCTCAAAGCTTGGCAACGCATCGTCAAATCAGATGTCATGACAAACTACGCAAGGGTATATCAAGTAGCTAACATCCTGTTTAAGTTGGTCACATTTTATTCCTTCCATTTTTCCCTTCTGAGATCCGCGGAGTTTATACTTTTCTACTTCGTGCTGATGGTCTTTCTATTGTCAGTCCCCCATACTGTATTCAGCCATTTCCAAATAGGACACTTGAGACAGTCCGCACCCTCTTTAAAACACTAAAAGCTATTTGCGGAATACCTTTGCATTCTAGACCATTAGTAAAAGAATTGAAACATGGTAATTAACCCATCATTTTTGCACATTCAGCAACCTTCCAATATATCAGCTTTTTAAACAAACGTATATATCTAAATGAGGGTTTTGCTATTTCACACTTTTTACACAGACAGGCTAATCTCTGGAACATTGTGCGTCGACAGCACGGCATTATGGCGCTTCTGCATCAGCTAGAAGTACGTCAGCCAATCTCAGAGGCCGATAGCGTTCGCACCTTGGCTTGCCGTGGCCTTGTTGGGTTGGCCAGATCCGATGAAGTTCGCGGTATGCTTTCCAAACTCCCACTTTTCACCAAGGCTCAACTCCAGCGTAAGTCTGCTTGGTAATGATTGGCTACTAGCTTGTTTCTTTGGTCTTCTCTTAAACTTTATTTTGACATTGGTTTACTACATCAGTTTTTGTTTTTTTATAAGTATGACATTTTTGTATTATTTGCTAAACAACCTAATTGCATCTATTTTTGTTGCTGACATCCATTAGCTGGCCTAACGTATCTAAGTTTTCGTTAATACATCACCATGAAACACACTTGAAATGTTGAATAAGGTCTTTTATAAATTATTTACCATACTTTGAAAATAGCTAAGTATTCTGAATGCATACACGGATATTCTTTGATGAGTTATTTTAAGGCTAGATAGTTGTTTCCGTCCATAGTGATATCTTAGATAAGTTTGGCTTAGCAGGTGAATTATATGGCCTCATTCCATAGAGATTTTTGCGCCCAAATTCGACAGTAGTTTGAGTATCCTTTATTATTCAAACTTCTATTGCTCCATTCAGATGCTGATCCTGCACCTTTTGTCAAATACTTTACCGCTTGAAAACGCTATTTGAATGCAAAACATCCACTAGACGCATGTGGAGCATGCAATAGTTTTTCTCTATAATGCAACTTATTCTTCTTCGTAGTGTTGGTTTGACCTTGTTTTCACGACTTGGTCGGAGCGTCAGGGAGTCCTTGTGCAACGTACCTAATCCTGTGTCTTCTTTGAACTGGGGATTTTAGTAATGTTACGATGCTCAAATAAATCTGAAGTAGAGCATATTAGCCTTACTTACTGTGACTGTTAACTTTGAATTATAAATAAATTTTTATTTTTCTCTTATATACGACCTTGAAATGTCATTTTATTTGAGGTTATTCATTTTCTGTTGTATATATTTTTCATCTCTATGAACACCACTATTGTAATGACATCTAGTTTAAACTCGACGAAGATCCTGTACTATCAACATCACAACATATTTTTAATCAAGTAGCTATTGCTTTTCTCTTAAAGTCTCATACTCCTATGGCTATGCAGAATTTATTCATTTTTTGATATATTTAATGAAATATGCAAATAGTTTTAGCATCGCCATGGGTGTAGATATAATTCTTGTGGTTGAAGCTTTCATTGGAGTACAAGGAAAAACGAAATCCAAAAACAAATTTACAACTGCAATTTTAATCAACAATTTCCCACAGTAATTACAAGTTTCCGATTATTATTCCTTGAGTAATCAAAATTAGCCTTAGCATTAATCTATTCTAATATAGTTGTATCACTGTCAGCCACTTAACTATTGATATTTCTATTTTATTTATTTACTTTAATTATCTCCGTTGTATGCGGCTTTTAACCTCTTTTTCATTTTTGCTTATTGATAAACTTCTACTTTGTCTAAAAGTCCTAATGAAGGAGCCAGTTCTACCTGACCGGCTGGCAGAACACGCGGAATTCTGTCGTTACGCTACTTTGCTGATCCGACTTGTTGTTGGAAGCCTTCAGGACGGTCTAGCTGCCGGCGAGTTGTCTTTGGAACGCGCTCGGAGGGCTGAAATTGTTGCCAAAACGCGTATCACATGGGACCAAGATGAACTCTATGAACTGATATATCGCCATCTCCTCTCTAAAGGCATGTCAAACAGATGTATTTAC